TATGACCTCATTTAACCTTAATTTTCTCTTTGAAGTCCCTGTCTCCAAATACAGTCACATTTTGAGGTGTACCGGGGGTTAGGACTGCAACATATGAATTTGGGGAAACAAAATTCAGTCCATTAACAGTTACTAACAGGCACGTGCAGTTCACACATTATATAAAGGCACATTTTTTCAAGTAATTTTCAAAAGTGGTGATAGAGTTTAGATGATTAAACACTGACTCTTACTTTTTATATGATCAACTAAACATACCTATAAAATAGTTGTCGTATGTCATGATAATCATTTCAGAGAGTGACACTGAATGTTAGTGCTAAAGTTGAGGCTTCCCACAGATAAGTTACTTGTGCAGATGCTTACATCAGTTGTTGATAAAGCAAAACTTATGTCCAAGATAAGTATTAGTATTCTAATTCTCTACATGAGAAAACTGAGATTCAGAATTTAAGGGGCTTACTTGTGGTCATGTCGATAAGAATTGGCAGAGTGGAAATTTGCGTTAGGTCATTCTCAACTCCATAGGTTGCATGCATAACAATTTTGCTTTGTTTCATCCCTGGATAATGCTAATACAGCACTGATGAGAATTTAGTGAACCACAGCAGAGTCCAGGAAATCTGTTTTTTAATTAAACATCAAAATAGCTTGTAGCTCTTTTTAACTTAGGTGAGAGGATTTTCAGACTCCATGTCTAATGTCTTCTTTGCTAGCCATACAATGATATGGACTTGAATTATAATACAATTCTCTTCTCTTACTCTCAATTTCTTTACCTAAAAATGAGGATAATACCATTGACCTTATAAGGTTTTTCTAAGATTTAAAGTTTATGTGTACAAAGTACTATGTACGTTGCCTGACATAGCTGTCATAAAGGCTACCATTTAGTCTTAGCTCTAATATTTAAAGATTTTGTAAATTTTACAGCTAATTATTAATAGTAATTTTGCATAATTGGTAATTTTAAAAATCTCTTTTGTTACTCCATAAATTACATGGAGAAAAACACCTAAAATGCAAAGGGCTCATGTACTTGTCAAAGTCATCAAGGATAAAATATAATAAATTATATCTCATGCTACAAATAGTTGGGGAGGGGAAGAACCCCAAGACATGCAGTAAGTTCTATCCAAAGATAATTAGGATTAGGATAATTATATGAGTTAATATAAGAGAGACACATTTCATAGTGTATAGAGGAGGAAAAAAAGATTTGATTGGGACTCTGTGAAAAATAAACTAAAAACTAGAAAAATAAATGTATCTTGCTTTAGCAAAAATCTAGATTATAAATACTGGAGTGTGCTATAAGGAAAAAAAGAGCATAAGGAACTAATTTAAATATAGTGAGTGATCTAGAATTTGATACTAAATTATCTGCATATTTCATTTTCTTCATCAGATACAATATCTTAATTATAGCACTGAAAGGCCATCTTAAAAAAAAGACAGCTGATGTAAAAGCATTCTTCTGTTTCCATGTGGTACTTAGTAAATTAAACCACTCTTCTATCATAACTTTGGATTATTAATAATTAGAAATATTAATGCCTCGGTCAGGCATGGTGGTTCATGCCTGTAATCCCAGCACTTTGGGAGGCTCACACGGGCAGATCATGAGGTCAGGAGATGGAGACTACCCTGGCTAACACTGTGAAATCCCATCTCTAGTAAAAATACAAAAAATTAGCTGGGCATGGTGGTATGTGCCTGTAGTCCTAGCTACTTGGGAGGCTGAGGCAGGAGAATCCCTGGAACACAGGAGGCAGAGGTTGCAGTGAGCCAAGATCATG